CCCCCCCTTTCCATCACTAAACCACACCCCAACCACAGTAATGATAATGTTGTGATATTGTTGTTGTTGTTGTTGCTGTTATTGTTGTTGCTGTTGCTGTTGCTGTTGTTGTTGCTGTTGTCGTTGTTGCTGTTGTTGCTGTCATTGTTGCTGTTGCTGTTGTTGTTGTTGTTGTTGTTGTTGTTGTTGTTGTCGTTGTTGTTGTTGCTGTTGTTGCTGTTGTTGTTGTTGTTGCTGTTGCTGATGCTGATGATAATGTCCACGTTTGACCCCTCTCCTCGCCCATCTTCAGGACCCCGTCCGTCTGCCCAAGGTTAGTAGAGCCCGCGCTGTGCCACCAGCTCCCTCACGGCCGCGCAATGTGGAGGCGGGCTGCTCAGGCCCCAAAGCTGAAACTGCATGCTAGCTTTAACTCTGCTAACATTTTGGCTGGGGCTTCTCTTTCTCTCTCTCTCTCTCTCTCTCTCTATCTCTCTCTCTCTCTATCTATCTTTCTCTCTCTTTCTCAGTCTCTCCTTCACTGCGGTGGACTCGGTCTTCAGCATTTCATTTTCAGCTTGTGTTTCTGGGCTTCTCCTGTGCTGTAAAATCTCTTGTCCGTAGATCGTTTTTCACTTTTTATTTCGGTTTTCGGGTTTATTTCGAGAGAAAACGTTTCAAAAAATCTCAATTTTTGTTTATCTCTTTTGCCCTCCTTTTCTGCTTCCAACCTTTTGTTGTGATCGGCTACGGGCGAACGTTTGCTTTGGCGTTTTGTTTGTGGGAGCTTCCTCGTTTTCCTTCTGTTGGTCTAAAAAAAAACAAAGAGAGAAGAAAAAATCGTTTTCCTTATTTTGTTTGGTTGTTTTTTTTGGTTGGTTTTTTTTTTCGGTCACATTATTTTCTCGTGTTAGTGAAAAACGGTGAAGATTTCCTCCTTGATCTGACCGTGTATGTGGATGTGGGTAGATGTCTTCCCAGAAACACTGACGCCGTTCAGCTGATGATGGTACTGTCTGCTTCTCTTCAACTCACATATCGAGATACTAATTGTTACTTTTTGACATTCTCTAACTGAGCACAGGTCCTTGCTTCCTCTGAACACAGCGTGAGGGCCGCCCTACCAACTCTCACACTGACCTAGATA